TGCACAATGCAATTGCTCACCACCCACCAAACAATACCCAGCCCATCCCCGAGCGGCGATCGCTGCTCTCCAGCCGACTCCCCCCAGTTTATATACTGAGCATGACGTCATATGGTATGGAATTGCCCTTTGGCCAGTTTGGGTCAGCTGTCCTGGCTGTGCTCCCTTCCAGTTTCTTGTGCACCTGGCAGAGCATGGGAAGCTGAAAAGTCCTTGACTAGTGTAAACACTACTTAGCAACAACTAAACCATCAGCTTGTTATCAACATTCTTCTCCTACTAAATCCAAAACACAGCACTATGCCAGCTACTAGGAAGAAAATTAACTCTATCCCAGCCAAAACCAAGACAGTAGAGAACAGAAAAATCAAAATTCCTTTGCTGCTTTGCCACACACTTCCATCAATTTCAACAAATCTCATGCATAAAGTGAACCTAAAAATACTGCCTTTTTAGTGCAAAAGTTTTGTAAATACATACATAAAAATATAATTTCTGAGATGCTTCGAAACCACAACAGAGATCACATACTTCTGAAAACTATATTCAGACACACAACGCAAAATTTAAAAATAACTTGAAAAAGAATTTTTTTTTCATTTGCCATGTATCTGTGGTAAATACTATGAATTTATGCTTTGCAAAGACAGCAGAGTTTCTTTTATATATACTACCTGAAAACATCTACTTTCCGTATGTATTTAAAACATAAAATCCATTAATATCTTCTGGGAATTTAGTTTTAAAAAAAAACATACTGCAAGAGGATGACTTGTTTTACCTGAATACCACTGTCTAGCTGTCTTATAGACCAGTAAATAAATTTAATCACAGGCATGTGTAGTTTAGGATTCACAAATGGCATCCACTGGAGTTGCTCAGTAGCTATAGGCAAAAGCTGTAAAAATATACAAAAGTAAAATTACATGCAGTATATGAAACTACCGTATAAGCTAACCATAAGTGAAAAATGAACAAAACTCCCAACTTTCTCTTGGAGTTTAACAGATTACATATGCAAATACTCACTAGGCAGATCCAGTACAGGTAACAAATTATCAGCTGACAGAAGTGACTTGAAATAAAATGCTGAAAGTCTCAAGCTGAGACTGAACACCACACTTTTCCTTAAAAATGATCCGTATGCTTTACAAATGACAAATTATCTATTATATCTCACTGCCAGAATTAATACTGACTTATTAAGAGTGATTTTGTTTTAATTACTGTATCCAAAGCATGTATAAAACAGGCTGACCTGTTACATTCTCAAAATCATTTAACAAACCCCATAAATCCAAAAACATATTAACAAAAGCAAACAATCTAAACTCCTTTACCTTCATACACCTTTCCTGGGTGCAGGTTTTTTTGGAGGTCTGGGTAACCAGAAGCTTATGACTGTCCTCTCTTTCTTCTTGTATTTTTATTTTGCTAAGGTGCTGGTCTGAGATCCAATCCATAAGAAAAGTTAAGAGCTCATAAACTTGTGAATTCAACGGTAGCTGTAATAAATCCACAACATTAGATACTTCAGCTTTCAAGTTAATGATTTTTCTAAGCCAAAATAGTAACAGACTGAAATATCTGAGAGTACATTAGTTCTGAAATATTATGCATAATTTAATGGATGATGACTACATGCCTGATAAAATCTGGGAGGTAAGTCACCATATTGGGAGCCTGTGGAAAACATTATATTTGAGGAAATCATGATCTTGAACAGGCCACGTCTGCTCTCTTGGGTCTTGTACCCAGAGTTTGGCAAGCCTGCATGTTATTAATAGAACCTGCAACTTATAATACCTCTGGAAAAGGTAAACTGTATGTGGATCAAGGGGTGGAAGGTGGCGATCCTGACCAGGAGACCACTGTACATTGAGGAGTCGGAGATCCACATGGCAGTTAACCTAAGCCGGCGCAGCCTGTGCTGTGCTGCACAGATCAGTCAACTGCACAGTTCACCCTGTACTTGGCCGCAGGATAAACTCAGTCAGCTCACTGTAAGAGGAGCCTGCAGGCAGCTCCCACTTGGTACCCAGTGGCGATCACACCTCCTGCCTGGCCGTGCCCGTGTCTAGAAGGGCAACAAGAAATTCTCCTGTGAATGTCCTTCATGAATAGAGTTGTTTTCTTGTAACAAAGCTACATTGAATGACCAAAAAGGAGCATCTTCTCTCCATGGACAGGGCCTGCTCAGCATGCCCTGGAAAAAATTCACCTGGGCTCCATCTGATGCTGCACAAAGTTGCCAGCATCTGAAGGAATGTACTATTTACTCACTATCTATATTCCTCCTCTTATTCTGTCTTATTGGAATAGCTATTTCATTAAGCTGTTTGTTATCAGGCCTTTCTTACAGAGATCCAAAAAGAACCCTGCATTGTTGCACACTTCAGTCCCCTCCCCACTGCAGAACAGGTACTATCTGTGACGGTTTCTGGGTGTGAAAAAATACACACATAATTTATTTTGTACTTAGACAAATAGCTATGAAAGGCCTGGGAAAAAATTTTCACATACAGAATCACTCCATTTTATAATTCTGGCCAAATGAATTACAGGAGAAAGCAAATCTTTAATGTCCATTGCATGTGGAAATTCTCATTTCAACGCACTAGACCATATAATCCACTGTTATTAAAATTTAACTGGGTAACTAGCATTGTTAGAAAAAGAACAAAGACTTCATTAAATTGTCATTCCGTCCCTGTACTACACTGCAGTGAAATACTCTATGAAAGAGATCCATAGGTACCTGAAGACAAGCTGCACAAACAGTTCTCTAAAGACTTCAAAAGTTTTCTTGTATCTACCTTCAGATAACCATTTTCCTCTTCACTCAGAACTATAACTACTGATACTGTTTATATTTCACTTGCAACCAAAGTACACTAAAACCTATGTAAACGGAGAAATATGTTGGCTATATATAAACAGCAGTTTTAAGACATCTGATGTAATTAAGTAGGATGGTGTGATTTTCTCTTTCCCATGTCACAGTTTAGCCTCTAGCTGGGCAAAATCATTACCAGCTGGGAGATGTTGGCAGAGTACTACCAGAGGACTTGCTACTAAATGGAACAACATAGAGACAGAAAGCATTTCATTAAGTGATGTAAGAAGATATTTTAAGGAGAATAAGGTGATAATTTTGGAACTGCATT